CCAAGGGGATATATCATCTCTATGAGTTTTTGTGACGACTTCACCTAGAGTCGGTGGAGTTCAAAAAAATATATATCTCAAGACTTATCCTCTTGGGGGATAGGACTTTGGAATGAAACCTATTAGTTTTTATATAACCCTAAACCAAATCTCATGTTGAGAACTTTTATGACCTTAGAGACGAAAGTTTCGTTCTACAAAGAGGCTCCTCTTAAAGGAGGCCCTTGTGCCTTTCCCTCTAATGTTATCCATGATACCCTTAAGGAAGCCACCTTATGGGGAGGGTAGAATATTCGTAGGCCGAAACTAGGAACCTACATACTAAGGAAATTATTGTCATCCCATCCTTCATAGGAAGCCTTCTCGCGACGAACATTATATTGTAATTTTAAACCTACGTGGGGTTACCTCTTATCATTATTATAACCTAAACTCGTAGGGGTATTATTTGGTTTAACTCGTAGGGTTTTTCTATTTAGTCATAATCCCTAGCCGGTAGGGATCCCCTTTTGTCCTTCATTATCCTTAGAACCTTTATAGAATCTTGTTCCCCATATGGAACCTTCCCACGAAGGACGTCCTCGTTGATGCACGCCACGTGGCCTATATCAGGCCATGGGATTTTGTGACCATTGACTGATCACCATGTTCTCTCTTCTACGTTATTCTCTCAAGTCCAATCTTTGGCTCAATTGTCCATTGGTCTATCACAAATCCTAGCATGTAGGAATTCCCGCCCCTCTGTTACAATCCCTAGCTTATAGGGATTCCTCTTCGTCTTTCATTGTCCATAATCCTTAAGGAGTTCCTGTCTGTCTCAATCTCTGAGTCGGTGTAGGGTATCCTTATTTCCATATCTATCATTAAACCCGTATAGGGTACCCTTATGTTTACCTTCATACTACATCATTGTCTCATTGCATATCCATGAAACTTTTTTTGCATACCCTTAAAGCCAAAAATATTTTTGCATAACATACATTCATACATACACATTCCCATCTTCGCCCTTGTCCAACTATCATCCAGCTAACAGATTGCCCGATACTCAAAGAACAAATTTCAAGCATGCTTCAATAAAGCTTGACGAGACTCAAGAAATTCATAAGTTGTTGAAGGAGAAAGTCATCCAGTTAGCTTGGTCCTACAAATCTTGTTAAGGAGAGAAGGCAACCCTTTGTCATACAAGTCAAAGGCTTACAATGCCTCAAATGTAACTATCATTTGTGACTCCTCCACATCAAGATCAACTGCCATATCAGAAGAATAGGTATGCCCAAGAAACGTCAAGGGTCACCCCTATGCTCTGACAAGTCCAAGAATATTCAGAAGCTCTCCTAAAGTCAAGAGGATCAACAAAGAATCTCTTCCATAGGATCATTAGACTTTATCAATTTCAAATTGTAATTTCTATTTGTTAAGTTGTATTTGGTGTAAATTTTTATCTTTTGACTAGTGATTCAAATAAATAATCATGCATGTTTTTGAAATCAATAAATTCGTATTCACTATTATATCACTTTCCATAAATATCAACTATTCACTTCCATCTTCCATTTCACAACTTTAATAAACTTTGAGGGAGAATGATGTAAACTAAATAACTGAGCTTGGATAACGTATGCTTTCAATGTAAGACTGAGCTGACAATATAAGGCATTAATTCAATTCCTAAATAGTGGAGAAATAAGGAGTTAATCAGTAGTCAACCCCCTCGAGCCAAAAGTTGGAGTTCTTTGTATTTTCAAAAAAAAACCCTTAATCATAACTAGGGGCAGCGTAAACTTCAATTAATTCAACGATCCATTCTAATCCCAGGAGAATCGGGCCATCTAAGCAAAGGTTCAAGCATATCTCTTTCCTCGATACATCATTGAGGGGACAATTTAAGAAAAAGTTTAAGCATATCTCCTTCCTCGATACGTCATTGAGGAAACGATCTAAGAAAAGGTTCAAGCACATCCTTTTCCTCACATTCATCATCCAAGATTGAGGAATCAATAAAGATAAAGTCCACGACATTCTTCCTCAGTACATCACTCAAGATCGAGGAAACAACAAAGACGAAGCTTACAACAATCAGTATGGGAGTAAAAAATGTTTAAAATGAAAAAAAAAAGAATAAAAAAAAAAATAAAGCCCGCTAAGTCAAGTAAAAATCGAAAAAACTTGACTTAGGCAAAAGTTAGGGCATCCCGATGGACCGTAAATTCAAAAGGATTGGTCCATGCAAAAATAAGGGCTTGAAAACAAAAAAAAATATTGGAGAACAATATTGTAACTCCCACCTCAAAAAAGGCTTCCCATCAATGCTTGGATCTTATCAAATGCTTTTCATCGGTGCTTGGATATTTATCTATGCTTCTCATCATCTGCACGACTGTGAAATTTCTCTTGGAGATTGAATGCATCTGTTGCATTAATTGGATTTAGGATTGGAGAACATCAAGTAGAATGGGGTGGGATAAATAATTTTGAGCCTTATATAATTTGTTTCTTGAACTACTAACCAAGGCCATGTTACAACCCTCAAAAGTCCTAATTGAAGAAAGGTTAACTATGATAGCATACTCGTCATAATTTGTGTTAAACAGACTCCTATGTTTGTTAAAATTATTTCTAACCACTCGCTTCTTCGAATCTCATCTCTAATCATCCATTTCTATTCCATAATAAACTTTGATTTAAAACTTACATGTACATCTGTTGTACCCCAAAATTTTCCCTCCCATTTCTCATTGACTTCTCACCACAAAGCCCTTGAAGCTCAAGATCCAGTTAGGGTTTCATCTGCTCAAGACTTCTCCTTGCACTGTGGAGCCAAATTAGGGTTTGTGTTTGCACAAAGATGTTTTGACCTAAAATGCCTGAGATGACTTTCTTGCTTCATATTGGACTCCCAAGTTTATCCATATCAAGTTTCAAGTCTTGATCCCAAGTTTTGCCCAGTTAATTGGACAGTTAACCTAGAAATCAGCTGTATTGGGGAAAAAGTCAACTGTGGCCAATTGACAGTCAAACCTCATGAAAATTGACCCACATCAACATTATGAACTCCTATGAACCATTTGATCAAGTTTGGATCACAATTCCACAAGGAATTTGATCAGATCATCAAAAGGGCAAAATGGTCATTTTTAGGGTTTTGACTGCACAAAGGCAATTTTTGACTGTTTGACCCAACCAATGGCAAACCAAGCTCACATATGGACTCAAGGACCCCATGGAATTATCTTGACATGCTCAACAAACTCAAAAGATCCCAAGTACACAAGATTGACAGTTGAATTTCCCAGTCAATTGATCAATTTTGATTGTATACTGAAAAGTCAAACTTTGACTTTTTGGTCAAAATCAAGAGTCAAGATTCATTTTTCATCAAAACATGACAAATCATGAAACTTGTTCACCAAGAAATCAAAAAATGCAAATTAGGGTTAGAA